GCTTGACAACTCACTGAAAGTGCTGGATTTATGCACCAATTTACCAGCTCGCGCGTGCAATGCGCAGCTACTTACCCCCCAATCATCGGTGAACGAAACTGTGGCAGCTACAACCAGTGTACGACCAGTACGCGGTTATTACAGCTGATAATGATGATGATGATGATGTGCTTGGCTGGAGACATTGCAGAAAACAGCACCCAACCCATGTCAGTTTCGTTTAAACTGCCGCTCTGTCTGTCTGAGTGCTTGGTCAGCACCAGATCTCTACTCCGACTACTGCCTTCTTTTATTGAATTTAGGCCTTTGAATATGACTAAATGAACGGTAGTGAAACATAAGTTTCAATACTGAGGTTGCTGTTTACGATGGTGATGGGGATGGTCAAGGGGACAACAACCACTCACCTGTAATACGGTCTCAGTGCATAGCCGCCACACAACTCAAGAGACGGAGGTAATACCAGCTTCCTCACAATTGGACAAGAATAATGGGAAGTGTGAAGTTGGATTCGAAATGCGGATCTTCCGGTCAGTCGATTCACGTCTTCGCAGCTGAGCTACACCGAAATGCTTCAGTCGCTTTACTTTCGCCTATACGTGGGAGCCTTCTCGATTCGATTCCACTACAAGAACCACGAATGTTAGCAACCACCATACAAACCAATTGGATCGCTATCTAGAAAGAATATCGGGGCGTGTCGTCGCTTACACCAGAACACGAAAAGCCCGACTATTTTGTACATATCAAGGTCAACTGGATGAACCGACAAAGATTTTACTGTCATCAAAACACAACTATAGTAGTTTGTTTTCAAGATATCTTCAGTGAACTCCACAACGGTTCGTCAATGGGGCTGTTGTCCCATGTTGTCTCGAAAAAGACATAGCGGATGCTTTAAGAACGTGTTTTCAAATGATTTTGTGAGGGTGGGATAGAAGTTCCAAATTCGCTTAAAGTCTAAGATATTCCTGACTGACAAGTATTAACCCGTCTCATAATCGTTAACTTCCGTCAACCAACCGGCTAAACTGGAAAGACAGCCAATTAACACACAAGGACGCATAATTATATGACAAAAGCAGTGTTGACGATTGAAACTTGAGGGATATTGAACTGTCGCCTGTTGATTCATCATATCTTTCAGCTGCGCTGCCGTTAGTCATCGTGCCAACTGTGAACTGTCCCAAAAATCGTTGTGAATAGACCCAAGGCTAAATTACTGGCCAAGTCAAATCGACACCAGTAAAAAGAATTCAGCATTCCATACCAAGGACACTTTGAAGTGATAATCAGCTAACAAATGTGAGCCAAAGATATTGTGTGTTTCGATTTTTCTGCCTCCTTTTGGATGGTAAACCAGCAACGCGTGTAACCAGAAAATGGGGTGCAAGATGGCCCAAGTGGTGAGAGCGCGAATTTACTGACCGGAAGGTCCGTGGTTCGAACTCGACGTCTGCATCTCGACTTCCTCTGTCTAGGCTTGGGCAACCCGGCAGTATCTCAGCCCTCGTGCTTCCTTCGGGTAGCATGGCAGCTAGGCACCGGAAGGGTGCTACAGCTGAACGTAATTAGAAGATATCTGGAATTCGTTTAATCGAGACGCGTTTACAAGTATATGCCTTCAAAATCGTCTCCTTGATAGAGGTGTTTACTCTCTGGAAGTTCCGCCAGAAGAGAGTAGTGTGATAGTAAAATTTTCAAATCTGTTGCAAACGGTCCAACATCTGTTCAACAAGATACAAAGACTATCTAAGCTGCACTATGCAACGTAGAGCACTCCAATATGCCACCCCGCCACAACCAGAAAAGCAGTGAACAACCATTCCGGTCTTACTAAGGTTCACGAGTTATGTACGTGTTTGGGTTCGAAGCACGGAGTAGTGGACTTTATTATTACAAATCAAAACACTCAATTCATTGAACAAAGACAGTGACCGAGTATGCAGGGAGTTTTTGGTTTATATATATATATATGTATATATATAATACATATGTATTATATATGCAGAACGATTTGCATCCAGGGACATACGTGTTGAAGCAGGGAATTGATTAAAATAAATGGAAAAATCGGATGCGACAAAGCATATCCCCGTTTCCCCGAGGATATTGACAGCGGATCCTGATATCTACGTCCACTGCCCTTAACAATGCTGTCGCGCGGAGGACTTCGGACGAATGGTTGTCCGCGCATAAGTATTCCACTACATCAAGACTACTCTACTAACAAACAGTTTACATAGTACAGTAACATGGACATGATAAGCCTTGCGAACAGTTTGAAAAAATCACCATCGCGAACTGTTCACTGTCTTCGGTAGAAACAGACCTGTGCTGTTCAAACTGCTTGATGATGTGACGCGTGTCCCGTTGAGGCCGCATCAAAGAATGGAGAGCACGGCCATCCCGATGCAGCAAACAGCACGTATAGAAAACTTCTGTCTGCTCAGTGCCGAGTACTACGCAATGTGGTCAATGATTCCGTATGGCGCTCATGGATGTTCCTTCACTATAATCTCAGACCTACGTGCCGTCGATTGTGATGCCGATTTTTTGGTCCAACAACCGATGATCACTTCTTATCGAAGGATCTGCTTTCCTCAGTTCGCCAAGACTGTTATTGGACTAGGACTTCCCAAAGTCACATTGTGGGTTCTCTGCATACTTACGACACTTTTATGCAGTGTACATCGCGTCGAGTGAACATTCTTGCCGTTGAATCTCACACCAGACCCAGTATCACGGAAACTTTGTGCCTGATGTGCGAATCTTGACTGTGCTAGCGCCTAAAAAGCATTTAGCATTGTTTGCCCCTTCTTCGGTTTCTGGTCAGTACACGCACGTTTCCATGCCAAACATCCTTACATACGTCGGGATTCGGCTTGTCTGACTGGAGCTGTTGGTAGTACTACTTCGAATGGGAAGCTTCCCTAGTCTTACCTAATATTCCCCGGTAACGATCCCACATCTATCACTCGCATTTACTTTTTGTTTGTGATCCTGCTCTTTAAAAATTAACGATACTGATTGGTACAGCATGGAATGACGTTAAATCGGACTGGCCAGGCGTTGCTGGCGAAACCCATATGTAGTTTTAATCGGATAAAGTAACCTTAACTAAGCTAAGGGCGGGATGGCCCAAGTGGTTAGAGCTCCAATTTACTGACCAGAAGGTCCGTGACTCGAACCTGACCTCTGCGTATCGACTTCTCCTGCCTAGGCTTGAGCAACCTAGCAGTATCTCAGCCCTCGTGCAACCTCCAAGTGGCACGGCAGTTGGGCACCGAAAGGGTGCTACAGCTGAACAATTACGATTTAACTAAGTTAACAACTGTCCGTCATAAGAAATCCTTCATTTATCCAACTATTTTGAAAACCCAGGAAGATTCGAGACTATACCCCCAACGTAATATCATCTTTCCTAGTTTATGGTATTGAGCAGGTGTGGGACTAGTGGAAGGTCGGGTGACCATTATCGATCCACGTGTTATTGGTTCACTAAACGAAGCCTAGACACTATGCGTAAGGACAGAACAGAGTTGTTCGGCCTAGATATCAAACACAGCAACTATTCATGGGCCGCGAGTGTTCTAGTTGGGTTTGAAGTGTCGAGAGCACGAAATTCGGAGACCCATGAGTAATGTATAACCTCGTAGTAGAGTTTCTGAAGATCTTCAAGATGAAACAATCTAACACAGTTTTTAGCTGAGTGGAATTAGCCCGGGTTAATCTGGAAGACTCAGTGTTTGTTGGCAGCATTCATGTCACGTGCTGGTCAAATAAACCAGTCTTGAAGAGACTTCAAGACAAGTGTGTGTATGTTTGGAACTTAGTCACCATTCAAGTCGTCCAGGGACCTTTAATCTTGTTTTCGACGTCACAGATCTAGTTTAGACCACTGCTGACGCATTTCTAGTGATATGTGGCGCGCAGATTAACCAAACATCTATGCTCTTTAGGCATTATTATTTGTTTGCGTCCAATCACCTGGCAGTTGACCGACAACCAACAAATCAATAATGGTCACTTGGCTGTCTTCTTGACGTGATCTCGTCTAGTGGCTTACTTTCGTACATCAGCAAGAAAGTCCAAGAAAAAATGAAAAAAGTAGCAATCATTCAGAGTTCACTCTGAAGAGCGGTCAATGCTTTGGAGGCTCCATAAAAAAGTACGCCCTAGCCGAGATAAAATCGGCCGTCTTTTGAAATTCTCTCCTTGAAGATAATCAATGTACAACGAAATGGGTGATCTCCTGTTGATTAAAGCCCGTAGCTGTTCCACTGAACCTCTCAGCTGTAACACCCTTCCGGTGCTTAGCTGCCATGCAATCCGAAGGAAGCACGAGGGCCGGGATATTGCCAGGTTGCCCAAGCCTAGACAGGGGAAGTCGAGATGCAGAGGTCGGGTTCGAACCACGGACCTTCCGGTCAGCCACTTCGCCCCCCTGTTCCGCTGAAGGAAATCACTTATTTTTCCCACGGGCCCCGTATCTATTTTAAGGCCCCACTATCTTCTTCACCAAGCCGTCAGATGTACTTGTAACATTTTCGGTCGCAATACCTCAATGAAAAGAATCAGCAACCAATCGCAGTGCTAGATTCCCACTTTTACAAAGAATTAGAAGGCCATTGATTCCCATCGCACGGCATAAAGCCCAATAGCCTCCTCTCGCTCTTGATAAACGCAAACATCAGGTCATGTCAAAGACAGCCTTCACGAGAGAGCAAGGGATTTTTACCCAACAAGAGGCTCGCTGGTTACCTTTGTTGGTTGGAAGTAGGAAGGACCCGGAGTAGTTGCTTTAGCAGAGGGAAGCCCATATTCGTCTTGTCACACACAAACATCGTTGACTTCAAGTTCAGAATCACATAAAAAGGCGTTTCGTGTGAGTTAACTGTGCTTTACTAGCTGTGGGAAATTACAATGTGTGTGTGTGTGTGGGAGGTTAAGACCGATGTGATAAGCCATGAAACGGAGATAAAAAGACATACGATGGGATAAGACAAAATCATCGAATCGATATGAGTAACGCAAGCGCGTGGGGCGAAGCTGATAACAAAAACAGCTGCGTTGCGTGGCAATGAGAGATTGCTGAAATGCGAATCGCACCAAGCGACAAGCACCATAAAGACGCAAGTTTACGAGGTGCGCGGGGTGTGGGCAACAGTGTGAGACAAAGTCAGAGAAAAATACGAGAAGTACGGAGAAAGATTTTCCGATATAAAAGTGGTGAAGAGGCATTTGAGAACGTCATGGCTGATCGGAAACACGCATAGGATAAGTTAGAAAAAACCACGAACAAAAATGACACCTAATAGTGAAGTGGCAACAGCCGAAAAAGTCAGCGTCAGAAGTTACCCCCATAGACGGTCAGGGAAAACAGAGAAAAATCAAAACACGATGCGGCTCATAATTTGTTCCTTTTGCGGTCTGGTTCGTCCAGAGAACCGGGGGTTATGCCACCCGTTACCCAAGCGTCGTGATCAGTTGTGCAAGAGAGTTGAGGAACACCTCGCGGGAGGCCCATCGAATCATCATAGTCGTACCCAGAATGTCCATAGCCAACGGAATGCTGGAATAGAGATGACAGTGATATCAACTGACATGGTGTTACCAGCATATTGAAGTTCTCCTGACCAGGCCGGTTAAGAATGGTTAGCCCAGTTGGACGAGCATTGAGGTTGTTGTGACCTTGTAGATGAACCAAAAAGGATATTAACATAACTTTCACACTGACTCTTTAGACTTTTGGAAGTAACGATGCGGCTGTTTGCGGAACGGATTAATCAGTCATCCATGTCGCTACGGCGAGTCATGAGGCGCGAGAACGATTTTGCCAACAAACTTAAGTTACTCCATCAAAATGAGTAGTGTTAGTTCTGAAATTCATTTTTTTTCGGAAAAATTCAAACAATCTCACCGCGCCGCTTCCAAGGGAGTAATTCCAAAAGCTGACGAAGAACACGCAAATGCGTATACAACCGTGTACAACCATCTCGACAAACGGTGAGGAGTGTTGCTAGGATCTCGAAATTGGCAAACTGCGAATGCAGCGATCCATGAAGATCTGACTGCGTGGAGCGCTGACCAACCTCCGCAAAGGCTGAACCGGTAGTTGTAATATGTACCCAATTGTAAGGTCGGCCGACCCACAATTACCTACGCCCTTCCGAAAATTTTGGCTGATTCTGTCCCATCCAATCACACGCCGGTGACGTACATGAAGAGGTGGACCTCATCAAGAAACGGAATGAAGTGCATTTGAGCTTACCCAAAGCCGATAAAGCAGATTGAATAAGTTGTAAAGGTAAACGACGTAACATGTGCACGACCTTGTGCTGTGTATTCAGGTCGATGATAATTGTCTCCTAACTCTAGATGTCGGCCATAGTTGTACTGAGATTTTTGGCATCTCAGGATCTGACGGAAGCTCTATACATGTATCAGAAACGGTCAACCACGTAGGAAACATCATATTTACATATACATACGTATAAGAAAGCGTGGCCCCAAAGTGCCACAAACTTCACCAAGAAACACAAAATCACGCATCTCGAACACTGATTTATACAGCAAGAGGAAAGAACTCACATCATCTCCGGAAGTTGGACCACCTGGACCTGAATTCACCGAACTGGCAGCGGCCGCAGCAGCTGCCGTGGCGGCAGCGTACATGTTGGCCTCTTCCTGTGCCTTGACAATGTTCTTCTTGTACCGAATACGTTTGTTACCGAACCAGTTGGAAACCTGGAGATGGAAAAAGATACTCTGGTATGCCGGTCCTAGACAGGGTTACTTGTTTTTGCTACAACCATGACTCTGGACAAGTGAGTGACGACCGGAATAGGAAGTCCTTGACCGGACTATGCCAGACGCGCTTAACTGTTGATGAGACTAGTAGCTATCGAAATTCGATCTGTCATCACAACATGATGGTGTGTGTAGCTGTAACTTGAAATGAAGTGGGATTCCACCCATTGCCATCAACTTCCTTCGACTTGATAGATATTTGACGAGAATCTTTTCAGCCCCAGAACACAATGTATCTTGTGGTTTCCCCTCAGAAAAAAATGAAACCTCATAATATTTCGTGGACAGGCTTGCAGTTCCACTTATGCGTTCACAAATTTGGCAGTCAGTTCTAGTTGTTTTAAACAGATGATGAACAAAAAACTGCGGTGAATATAACCAATTATTTTCGCTCGATTGATGCCACTTGCGATATTTGCATTACGTACCTGGGAAACAGTGATGCCGCATTTCTTGGCCAATTCCTCCTTGGCCTCTTCAGACGGATAGGGGTTAGCCAAGTGGGAGTAGAAGTATTCATTGAGCACTTCCGTGGCCTCTTTGCTGAAGTTGCGACGTTTTCGCCTGAAAATGAAAAGGAGAAAACGGGTTAGATAAGCTCAGGCGTGCACATACTAAAAGCCTTCGAAACCAAAGCATGCGCACCCAGAAAAAGTGCATTGAAGGTGAGTATTCGGCAAACGGCCGCCACACAACCAGAGAGAGGTTGGTGAGCTGCGATGCCGTCAGCTGTCCAAAGCGGTGATAATTGGCCTCTCAAGCAGTTGCGTTTTACCGTGATATATCACCGCATTTAGGACACGTGCCTTGTGTAAAAAATAATGGCGTGTATTTCGCGTTAGGGGAACACCTGGCGGAATGAAGATCAATATTTTGTTCTAGAGTTAACCAGGTATTTTTGGTTCATTTGAGGATTTCAAGCACGAAATCACGAATATCCATTCGTGATAGTTTTACCGTCTCGCCTACTGTTGCTAACACCCACTAGTATCAGATTCGCCTATCTCAAGCTCAGTTTATATCACAAATTTAGAGCCGAATGGAACCAATCAGATTGCTGCATTGGGCTGTTTTTTATCCGAGGGTGAAAGCAGCAGTCTCATTCCAGTGCTTGCATGCAGGTCACCTGAGGGTGTCTGGAATGTTGGACCATAGATATCGACTTAAAACTCAGTCAGGTTGTTTTGTCTTCTCAAAGCTATTTGTAGACCATTTGAATGAGGATGTGATTAGTTCAAACTAACACCTATACACCATTAATTACTTTCGTACAAAGCGAGATACTCGTCTATCTAAAGCAATATGGCAAGATGTTCAGTTACAGAGCCTAGCGTTGACCAGTGCTCTACTAACCTGTAACAACCCGCCAATAATCATACGGATAGGAGAAACCGCAATCTAGCCAAGCGACAAAGTTTACCACCGAAGACGAGCGCAGACCTCGATTACTCAGTTAGAAACCCTCATTTATTGTGGTCAACACTACAGCTTAAAACAATCGGGGAGTTCGAATAAACGAGAATCGACGGACCTCAAGCGCCACAGTCAATCAGGTGGTGAATCAAACACGGTGTGAACGTCCAATGAAGGTGACGAACAGTGCTGTCCGTAATCCGATAGAAACCCATGGTTCTGAATTTATAAACCAAGGTTTTCTTGGACTAAAGTGAATTCTTTTTGATCGGCTACTGGCAACACAACAAAAGGCCCTTACTCTTCGTTCACACGACCCATGCACGGTGTAACCAGTAAATATTCTGCCAAGCCAAGTAATATTGCTGAAGGCTCCCTTAATTTGGTCATTCAACAGGACGTGGGTGTCACATACAACGAGTGAGATATTGATGATGTGCTACTCGTGTCTGGACTCCGTATGGAGAATGGAAAGCCACTTGCACTCATCGTGAAGAGTTAATCAGGATTTGAAACATTAATCAACTGCCCCCCCCCCAACCGGTTGAACTGGGGAGATTTCGAACAGACAGGCAGCTGGGACTCGTTATTGGCTGGTGTATACAACTAAAATGTCTGCGGAGCAATCAAAATACCTCATGAAGATATGGATTAGTTTACAGGACATCAATAGGCAGGTATATCAGAGCAGTGCTCGACCAGCTATCGGTGTAGGATACACTGATTAGTTCATAATTACCTGTTCGAGTGTGGTTCATTAAGAAGAAGCGGGACCAATAGATAGCAGCTATCGCACAGTGACTTTGAGAACAATGATTCTAGTTGTCATCCGTGTGGAGAACTAGTCATCGGACAGCAGCCAGCTAGATAAGCTTTAGGGTCTGGTTGCAAGCTCGGTTTCTTATAATCGACTTGTTGAATCATATCAATGGGTAAACTTTCCCAGCGCTCCCCTAGCCGAGAAGGACATATTCCAACAAAAGAACGAGAGAATTTAAGATAATAGACATAAGAGACAGGTGTCAAAGATGGAACGACCAGTGTCAGTAGTCTCTTCAATGGTTGACGACACCAAACTGGACTCTTGATATGGTCGTAAGACAAATGAGATGACAAACTTTAGAACTACGGTACTGGTGTACCAGGATGAAGTACAGTACATCGTGGAGCTCATTATCTTTTTCGGGCTATACAGATCTATCGAAGAGCAAAACGACCTACCAAAAACCGATGTAAATAGCGCTGTTACGTAGTCAACGGATCTTCTGAGTTGGATAAGGATATTTATGAGTCTTCCCTTGACGCTTCACTGTGTACGACAGACAGGAACTATGAAAATAATCCGTCCTTGTTCCACTGCCAGTGCAAATCACAAAACTTCAAGGGAGATTCAAACAATTAGTCGTTACCATACTATTTGAACTATCTAGTGAGCCAGGACTGGCTACTTACCAACCGCACTAATGCCCGACACAACGCTCACATCGTAGCGGATCCTTCGTAGTGCACACTAACCTGTTCGTATCGTGTACATCTCTAACAACGATGTTGGTCTACTTATCCGATCATGACGTGGGCACTGTTAATGATGGCGTTGTTAACAAAGGCGCTGTTCGCGTCAATGTGCTACAGTAGGACTCAATGAGATACCTTTGCACTTTACCTTCATTGGCTCCACTGCCTGTTCAATATCCCATTTACTGCCTTCTGAACCATTTGGGCGTGGATTTCCAGCTCATCATTGCGTTGCTGACTGAATTACCCAACCATCCGCTTTCCGCTATACAAATACCACACGCTAAAATCAGCGAGTAACTATAGCCTCCAACAACGATGAGACCAATACTTCATTTTGATGCGGATTAATAAAAAAGCCATACATGCGTGAAAATCAGACAGGATATGACAATGCGCTGTTATATAACATGATGCGAATACTCAGCACCAATAACACGTCCTAGAACATTTATACTCTTGGGGACCGAATCCATAACCCGACGCCGTACCTTTCACGGCTGGAATTCTGAATCGTATCATTTCGAATTCGAAATAAGTAATGAAAGTTCTTGATAAAAGACAACTCCATTTACGACCGCACCACACACCAGGCGCATTCCCCAAGTGAAATACTGGTTGAGTGAAAGAAGACCAGTCTTGTAATGGTCGAGGAGACAATTCACAAAGTCCGCCTACACTAGCCAAAGCCCTGAGGCAAATGAAAACACAGATTGGGGCACCTCAGAATCTTCGTCCGTCTCATATACGTAACTTGACACCACCCACATTGGCCTAGCACACGCAACTTTTGAATAATTAGATGCGGATATCGGAAAGGCGACCGAAAGTTTTCTGTCATTTCGTCGCGCCTCGATGACCTTGACAACCAGCTTGAAATGAAAACCCGTTTTTTTTCAAACAAAAAGAAATCAACGAGTGAGAAATTTCTGACAAGCAACTATTTTGCTTGAAAATGAGATAAGAAATAAGAGACGTGAAAACCCACCGTGCATCGAGGAACCGCGAACGTAGTATCATGACCGCCTCACAAGTGCTCTGTTTCAGTTGCGTTTCGATTGCCCGAAATTTACGCCGGATAATCCCGACCATCAGTTCAATTTCTGCAGGGCTGATCGGACGGCTGCGACTCTGTTCACGTAACAAATTGATGACGTGTCCGGTAAACTCGTCGCATGCCTAAGTAAAAAAAAACACACAGGGAAATTACAGCGTACAAATTATTCAACAGGATTTTTGTGAATCATACAACGGAAAGTTTACGGCAACATAATCTTTGTGTTGAAGACATCGACAGGAGTTTGAGGATATCTCGAAGAGAAATTAAGATATTCGAATAGCATTCTTGAAAAGGTTCTCGGCCTCTAGACAAGAGAACATAGCAGCAGATACTGCTAAGTCGGGACGACAAGCATAGTGAGGAGTAGAAGCCTTGAAGTTACAAAACAAAAACATTATTCATCCACGTTTGGTGCGTTGTGTGAAGATATGTACACGGTAGTGAAGAGCTTCGTAATTCTCATGCGAAGCGGTACAAGGAAGACAACCTCTGTTGTCGATTTCACTGAGTTTTGGAAATACTAGCATTCGTTCGCTGCCAACCGAAGAGAAACAACTACTAAGATACGTAAAACTATTAGCTGGTTCTAGTGCCTCTGACACTAAAACCGGGTTCGACGCTGCATTCATTCAGTTTTGAGCAGCACTCTGCACTTTGAAGATGCAGAAAAAGGCTGCAACATAATGAAGATTATTAGTTGCTTTGCATTCCGACAGACTCTGATTCAATAAGTACAATACCATGTGAATGCTATAGGTCATTAGGGTCTTTCCTAATAAAGTAATACTCAGATAATCGTTAAGCTGTAACACCCTTTGAGTGCCATACCACCCGAAGCAAGCACGAGGGCTGATATACTGTCAGTTTGCCCAAGTCTAAACAAGAGCAGTTGAGATGCCAGAGTTGGGTTTGAACCACGGGTCGCGCGCGCCTACATCACTGAGTTACTTCGAGCTGGAAGGAGTCAAACATCATCGAAGAATCTGGAAAAGCTTCCGCCATAAAAAGTCTGAACACAAAATTGAATCAGAGAGATGATGATGAGTAGCCCTGACAGACATTTCCCACATCTTTAAGCGTAGTGGAATATAGCGATCGGAAAAAAAGATATGAGGATTACGGAACGCCTTGGAATGAAAGACATCGCCGCGAAACGATGGAGCGAATCTAAGACAGCCATCGTTGACCTAAGAGTTGTTGCCTGTACGGCAGGAAGCACTAGTGTCAACAATGATGTCATCGTCTCTGACATTAAAGACTGGGATCAAGTCCTAAATGGTTTTCACAACAGTATTTCTGTCAGACCAGTAAAATGTAACCGGTCAATATGCGGACATCAGTTCAGATGGTGAGCAATGAATCCTGATCTAAAGATGTCGCACCAGCTACGTACTGCAAATAATGACGCTGTTCCCCAACCACTAATGGAAAACCTGATCTACATCGAAGCGGTGGCTGCATTAAACTGCAGATAGGACCTGTGACACTACCAGTAGCATAAAAACGAATAAGAATGCCTTAGCTATGTGTGTACAGTCGAAGCAGCTTCGAGCTTCAGTAAGAATGGGAATGGAAAGTTTACCGGGGGAAAGTTACAATAAACGGCTTTGAATTTTGATCGAATTAGTGGTATGGTCAAAGGACATAAGCAGAAAATAGGAACTGAATCAGTTGATATTTATCATCCCACATGTATCCGTTGTTCGGAAGGAAGCGTTCACGAGCAAAAATACACAATGGGCAATCGCTTCAGTCAATCGAGGAATATTCTATTCCTTAAATAAACTAAGCCATTCCAGCAATGTTGAAAGTGAGATCGTTTCAGGAGCACTCAGACCCATGGAACCAAATCGTGGCGACCGGTACTTCTGATGTCCGCCTGCCCAAACCGATGCATGAAAATTTCATGAACTATATGTATTCTTTCATTGATGATTTCAGCCAACTTGAATCGTTCAAATACCGAATAGTCACATGTTTCCCAGTAGCACGGTCATGAAAAAAGTCACTACGGACGGCCCAGTGGTCATCCTCTGAACAGCATCTCAGGCGCAGATTGATGGTAGTCCAATCTGTAAACATTCAGTAAATATTCTAGAAAAACGTTCACGTCTACAAGCGGGTAGAAATCGTTGAAGGAACTAGGACACAACGGTGCATGTTTGCCCGTACAAAGATCCCAACCAGCCATGATAAGGTGAACATACGGTGAGCGTGTGTACCATCACCTAAAGGTCACTGAGAAAAAAACAACACGCTATACGCAGAAGTTGTTTTGTCAAAAATCTAGGATTCAGTGCTTTCCCTGTCTGTTGGCAATTCACAAATGGTACAGCGGAAAGTGGATCATGCTAGAGAATCACCGCAAAGGGACAAAGTGCATGATTGGAAATCTCGGATTGAAAATTTCAGAACCTGTAAACTGCAGTTCAAAAGAACCGGACCCCACGATAAACTGAACGAACCGTGATAGCAGCGGTGTGGAAAGATAAAACCAGGATTACCTAGCCAAATATATGTTTCATATTGAAACGCCACACAGCAAAGGATCACCTTAACTAACATACCGAGCTAATCGGTGGCAGTAAAACCTCATAATGATACACTAAGAAAACCGTAATCACTATGAAAACTTGTTGAATTCCAAGTAGGACAACTATTCAGCCCATGATCTCAGACTTTTCGCAACTTCGTATCCAAAAAGCAAGGACATAGTGTAGAATGCTAAGGGGCATAAGCCACTCCCAATGGGCGGCCAAATAATTCAACCCGTGTTCGAGTGGAGTGTAGTCATTAGCGGAAAACGACCAGTTCTTGCATCACTGATATTTTTAGCAGATACTTTCTCGGGATGTGTGCATACGTTTAGCAATCCATCCTCGACGGATACGCGTTTGATGACTGTCACCCTAGTTGATATGTAAATTATCAGCTGAAACAGGACGCCACCACTGCATTGTGTTGGGCTGAATTCAAAGGTGGCATGAACTTACTGGATTTTCCAGGTCTACGAGCATGGCAACTGCGCAGTTTGGACCAATACAGTTTTCTTTTCTTGCCTACTGCACTCAGCCGCTTAACCTCCACGTGTTTAATGCGAAAGTAACCTCCCAATAAAGTCCGCGCAATTACTTACTACGTGTGTCCAACATCAGCCTTTGGACGTCATGGAGTGGAGATTTATTGGAAAATCGCGCTAACTTGATTTACAAATAATTTGCAATGGAAGAGAAGTTGGTTTTAGTTCCCGGTGTTCGTTCGATGAAGCGAAATTTTCTGGCTACCTTATGGTAGTTCGGAGTTCGGACAGAGTTTCTAAATGAACTGCTGCAGATGGCAATAAATGTGGCCTATTGACTAAAAAGGACGGTAACCTGAGGAAAAATGCATTTCGTACACCACTAGGATCTTCTTTGAAACAGGACTCAGTTCGAAAACTGAAAATGTGTCCATTTTAGTGTTCGCTGGCATCACTGCGGAACAATCGGTGAAACTGTGGCAGCTACAACCACTGTACGACGAGAAGGCGGTATTACAGCTGACAATGATGATGATGAATCGGTGAAACCGCCTTTCTGGAAGTGTGGATTGCTGGACGGAGAGACCAATAGACTCAGACAGCTGTGGCGGTTCATCCACTTGGGGTTATCTGAAGACTTGCTGTCACCTGACAATCTGCCTTTGCGAGTCAAAGTACAGAGGATGTAGCACACGGTAAAAAAATTCCACATTTGTATGAATAGCCACATCAACCAATGTTTATACTTTATCCAATTACTCAGTGTACCCGAACCACAAGTCACCGAAACTAAATTAGGGAGCGAAGCCTTTATTAATATGAATAGATGTTGCTTCACTGAGCGCGTATTAGTTGCTGTTCTATCAATTGATAAAACAGCCCTTTAGGAATGGGTTTCGCTAGCTGGATGCCTATTTGTATGAACTGCTGATCTGTGGGTGCCTCACAGAAATTCTTTTCGAAAATCTTACATAGGCATACGTTGAGCGGGAAAATGTCCTAGCTGTGGTGGTGGTGGCGTCCACCGCCGAGTGGTTCAGTGAATCAAAATTACACTTGTTGGTCAGTGTATATGACAGTAGCACTAACTGATCCTTAACGAGATGCCAGTTTCACCAGAGAGACACTGTAGACAGCACTGTCACTTTTGGCGCATACTTCATGCGGCTACAATGAGGGAAGCACCATCGCTGATTGAAGAGTGATGGCAAGAGCTTTATTGGTTTTTGTTGAGAGGCATCTTTCGCACCAAATATGTAGAACTAACTACGGATACACGTCGAGGGCGATGGGCCTAATGAAAAAGCATGAATGACTGCATGGCCTGGCTATGTCTGCCAGCGCTATCGGTTTTAGTACCCTAAATGTCCCGTTCTGGTAACCGCTATCGCGAAACTCCGTGTTGCAGATGCTATCGCCTGACTGGCTAACGTGCTGTCAACTAACGGAGGGAAACTGTGTATGTACGGCAAACTTGGCATGTGAGCGAAACGGCACAACGGCGCATATTGGGCAAGGTCATCCGCCGATGGTTGATGTGGGACAACCGACAGACGTCAACAAAAATGAACAAAAAACGCACACAAACATGAAGTGTACGGTGCCTACCACTACCCCCCCCCCCCGGGGGCGATCTTTTTGAAAGGCAA